CATTGCAACCGACACACAAAAATATTTTTTGTTAAATAAATGTTTTATTATAATTTTACATTTAAAAAGAATTGAAAAAAGAAAAAATCAGGAAATAAAAAAGGGAAGAAATCCGATTGGTCAAAAAGACCCCTTGTCTATAAGGGTGGGGGCGGAGTTTTAAATTATTTGGTTTTACAAAACAAAAAACAACGTGTTCCATTTTTAAATAAAAAAGGGTTTTTGTAGAAAAGATCACCATATGGAGAAGAAAAAAAAAAGGAGGAAAAAAAGGGGCGGATATAAAGGGGGAAATTTCTGGTCCCCCAAAAACACCTTAACAATCACCACCCTTTTTAATTTCTCCGGGGCCTCTGATTAAATAAATAGAATGTTTGGGGGGTTTTTATCTCATCTTAGGCCCAAAATCTGCTTTTTTCCCATGTGTACAAAATCATCCCAGAAACAGCTTTTGGCAGTGAGGGGGGTTAATGTAGGCAAAGTTTGGATCACCCCTGCAGGGGTGACTTTAGACCCTCCCCCTAGCGGGCGGCCTGGTAAAAACATTGCTGGGGAGGTCATTCATTTTCTCTGCTCCTTTACTTCCCTTTCCTTTTTATAGAAACGCTCCTGACTTTTGGGGGGTCTTTTTCAAAAGAATGGGGGAAAAACCCTTTTCACCTGGTAAAAAGGGGCATGTCCATTCCTTAGCAGATCCGGAGAGGCGTAAGTGTGCATGGATGGGGTGTAGGTGTCAGTCCATACCCTAGATGAAATCTCTCATACAGACACAATGGAACTCATGGGACTTTATAAAGAGGAACTCCAGAAAAACAGATCAATAAAGACCTTCCAATGTTTTCTTCCCAATCAGTGTAGAAAATCATAAAACCCTCCCAGCAGGTGTACAAGGCCATGAAATCTCTCACAAAGTCCATCAATGGACAATTCCTGGACAACAATCACCGTGGGACAGAATTCTGAGCACCATAAGGAGGATCCAACAACGTCATCCATCTCCGCGCGTTTCGTGGTGCAGCGCTCACTTCTTCAGGAGAAATGATTCCTGCTGATCAGAGTATACACCAATAATAAAAAAATGGCAGCAGGACCATCACTGGCTGGATGGAAAGTGGAGCAGGAAAGTGGCGTCAGGTAAGTCTTCCCAGGAGTTCTGTGCTGGGCCAGCTCCCTTGTTTATGGTGGCCGGTGTTTGATTGATGTGTTTTTCTGGCGTTCCTCTTTATAAAGTCACATGACCATTCTGTCTGTATGAGAGATTTTATCTCCTGTCCATTCCTTCTCTGTGAATGGGCTAAAACACCGATGTCATTAGGAGATTTGCTGAGCCGGGGGAATGTTTTCCATCATTACAGAGCATTTCACACTCCATTTTTTTCCTCTTCAGGCATCAATGGCCAACCCGGTCCCACACTTCATCCATGTCTTTGGTAACCTCTGATCTCCTTATGAACTGTTTCTTCCATGATGAACATCAGCCATGATGTGTGTAAAAATATGTCTTCTATGAAAAGCATTTCCCACATTCTATACAGGAATATGACTTCTCCCCATGTGAGATCTCTGATGTCTGTGATAAAAATGACTTGTTTGAAAAACATTTCCCACACTGAGAACAGGAGTATGGTTTTTCCCCTGTATGAAAACTTTGATGTGTAACAAGATGTGATTTATTTACAAAACATTTCCCACACCCAGAACAGGAATATGGCTTCTCCCCAGTGTGACATCTCTGATGTCTGTAAAGATTGGACTTCTGTGAAAAACATTTCCCACACTCAGGACAGGAATATGGCTTCTCCCCTGTGTGATATCTCTGATGTGTGTAAAGATGGTATTTTTTTTAAAACAATTTCCCACACTCAGGACAGGAATATGGCTTCTCCCCTGTGTGAGATTTCTGATGTTTCTGCAGACTGGACTTCTCTGAAAAAAATTTCCCACACTCAGGACAAGAATGTGGCTTCTCCCCTGTGTGAAATCTCTGATGTTTGTGCAGATGGGACTTCTCTGAAAAACATTTCCCGCACTCAGGACAAGAATATGGCTTCTCCCCAGTGTGAAATCTCTGATGTTTCTGCAGACTGGACTTCTCTGAAAAACATTTCCCACACTCAGGACAGAAAAATGGCTTCTCCCCTGTGTGAGATCTCTGATGTGTGTGAAGACTGGACTTCTGTGAAAAACATTTCCCACACTCAGGACAGGAATATGGCTTCTCCCCTGTGTGAGATCTCTGATGTGTGTAAAGACTGGAGTTCTGTGAAAAACATTTCCCACACTCAGGACAAGAATACGGCTTCTCCCCAGTGTGAAATCTCTGATGTTTCTGCAGACTGGACTTCTCTGAAAAACATTTCCCACATTCAGGACAGGAATATGGTTTCTCCCCTGTGTGAGATCTCTGATGTATGTGAAGACTGGACTTCTGTGAAAAACATTTCCCACACTCAGGACAGGAATATGGCTTCTCCCCTGTGTGAGATCTCTGATGTATATGAAGATTGGACTTCTCTGAAAAACATTTCCCACACTCAGGACAAGAATATGGCTTCTCCCCAGTGTGAAATCTCTGATGTGTGTGCAGGCTGGACTTCTCTGAAAAACATTTCCTGCATTCAGGACAAGAATATGGTTTCTCCCCCGTGTGAAATCTCTGATGTGTGTGCAGGCTGGACTTCTCTGAAAAACATTTCCCACACTCAGGACAAGAATATGGCTTCTCCCCTGTGTGAAATCTCTGATGTTTGTGCAGATTGGATTTCTGTGAAAAACATTTCCCACACTCAGAACAGGAATACGGCTTCTCCCCTGTGTGAGATTTTTGGTGTCTGTAAAGAACGGACTTCTGTGAAAAACATTTCCCACACTCAGAACAGGAATACGGCTTCTCCCCTGTGTGGGATTTCTGGTGTCTGTAAAGATCAGACTTCTGTGAAAACAAATTCCCGCACTCAGAACAGGAATACGGCTTCTCCCCCGTATGAAATCTCTGATGTGTGTGCAGAATTGACTTCTCTGAAAAACATTTCCCACACTCAGGACAAGAATACGGCTTCTCCCCCCGTGTGAAAATCTCTGATGTTTCTGCAAACTGGATTTCTCTGAAAAGCATTTCCCACACTCAGAACAGGCATACGGCTTCTCCCCTGTGTGAGATCTCTGGTGTCTGTAAAGATAGGACTTCTCTGAAAAACATTTCCCACACTCAGGACAGGAATGTGGCTTCTCCCCCGTATGAGATCTCTGATGTGTGTGCAGACTGGACTTCTCTGAAAAATATTTCCCACACTCAGGACAGGAATACGGCTTCTCCCCTGTGTGAGATCTCTGATGTGTGTACAGACTGGACATCTTTGAAAAACATTTCCCACACCCAGGACAAGAATACGGCTTCTCCCCCGTGTGAGATCTCTGATGTGTGTGAAGATGGGACTTCTGTGAAAAACATTTCCCGCACTCAGGACAGGAATACGGCTTCTCCCCTGTGTGAGATTTCTGGTGTCTGTAAAGATAGGACTTCACTGAAAAACATTTCCCGCACTCAGGACAGGAATACGGCTTCTCACTTGTGTGAGTCTTTTTATGCCTATTAACAAGGAATCTGGAATGAAAACATTTCCTGCACTCAGGACAGGAGAAGCTCTTCCCTGTTGGAAGGCCAGCCCGGTACCGCACAGTCTGAGGTTCCTCAGGATACGAGGAATCCGATGGTCCATCTACACTGGGTGGTGCCGGATGGACATTGGAGGGAGCCGGGTTTTCTCCTGGACTATACTGTGTGATGTCCTCATCTTCTACTTTCCAGTCTGGAGACAAAGTGAGACAATCCTCGGAGGTTTTCCTCATCTCCTGGCCATGGACTAAAATACAAAGACAAAGAGGATTACTAGACAGGAGTTGATTGGTTCCCCCAAACCAGGACTCCGCCCACATCAGGCAGGTTGGTCTCTGAGGAGCTTACAATTCCACCCTCAAGGGAACTAGGAAATGGCTCCTCTGATCTCCTACCAGGTCATTTCTTTATTCATGGACCTTAGTCAGAGAGTGAGGGAAACAACCAGAACTGTCTTTTATAGGAGGGACAGTGATGAGGGGATTATAGGACGAGGGTCCCCACCCCCTCTATCACTCATCACCATCTTCCCAACACAAGAAGTACTGCACTTCCTTATTTAGTCCATGATTTAGTCATGAAGAACAGCGGGGCTGAGCCCCACCAGAGGTCAGAGAGTGAGGATGGGGGGAGAACAACCAAGATGAAGACTGGACTGATCCCGAAGACCGCCATCATTGGGGTATTGACTCCTCCCTCATTATCACTTTCTGTTTAAGGGTCCAAAGTTGGAGGATGTTATCACATTATTATCACCATGTAAAAGTCTGTGCTCCAATCACATCATCCGATTTAAAATGTCCAGCTGGGAGGAAATGGGTGTAACAAAAGAGAATTCATATTATGTGTATATATAGCAGTGGGGGGGAGGGGGAGAGCAGAAGTCAGGAGTATGTAATGTACAACAGAGTATATAGTGCAGGGGTCAGGAGTATGTAATGTACAACATAGAGTATATAGTGCAGGGGTCAGGAGTATGTAATGTACAATATAAATTATATAGTGTAAGGGTCAGGACTCATAATATTGGTATTCAGCAATCAGTGGTGGCCTAGATGTCCACATGAGACAAGCTGCAGAGGTCCCACACCACCGCCTCCCATCTAGGTGGATCCTTCGTACTGCTCTCTCCTTTACAATAAAGTCTCCTCTTACCCGGTGATGTGAGGGGCGGCTGATTGTCCATCATGACGTCCTTGTAGAGATCCTTGTGTCCTTCTAAATACTCCCACTCCTCCATGGAGAAATAGACAGTGACACACCTGACACCTTATAGGAACCTGACACACACAATGATACAGTCACCATCCAGACACATCCCTTGTCTGTTACTGGAGAATGTCCCAGAATTCCCGGCACCGCTCACCTCTCCTGTGAGCAGCTCCATCATCTTCTTAGCAACTTCTAGAATCCTCTGTGTCTTCTGTCTTGTAGGGATCAGGGATGGAATTGGGGGGATGGTGATGGGATTCTGGATTCTCGAGGATCTTGTGGTCATACGATGAGATCTCCTTCTGGGGTCATTGTCGGTAGATTTCTTCATGACTCCTGTACAGTTCTGTGTGATACAAAGAGGTCTTACCTGTCCATAATGGACAACAAGAGGAAGTACTTGGTATAGCAGAGTCCAATGTTTGGTGAAAGGATTGGTGCAAAGCTGAAGGTTTTGGTTCTGTTAGTCATGATGCCATCAGGTGGTCTGACAATGAGCTGTACAATAGAGATGGTCTGCATCCCTCACACAAGGGCACTCAGCTCCTTACTATGGAATTTAGGAGGTTTTTGGACATGCATTTAAACTGAGAAATGGGGGCAGAGATGTCATTGTTGAGGATCATTTCTGTCCCCAGCAGGCTGAAACAAATGTGAGGTTGGTGTTGCTCAGGACGGGGCTGATGGGGTCACTTCAGTTACAGTTTCTGCTGGTAAACATAAAGCAGTAGATGGCAGTGCTTGTCATGTCATTGCACTAATGCTCCCAGTTTAGGCAACAAGATTTGTGAGCTGACAGCTCTTATGTCTAGGGACCACTTGGACCTTGTTGTAATTACAGAGACATGGTTCAAGGATTCAGATGACTGGGACGTAACTATACCAGGGTATACACTATACAGGAAAGACAGAGTAGGGGGGAGGGGAGGTGGAGTTGTCATATATGTCAGAAATAGCATAGGGATAACATTATTCAAACAACAAATGAAATGCTGGAAACCCTGGGTCTGCCTTCCAACCAGAGAGGGATCTTCCCTTAGATTTGGTGTCATATACAGACCCCCAGGACAGACTGAAGATTAGGAGGACTTCTTGATTGATGAGATAACACAAATGGCAATGAAGGGGGAGGTTTTCATTATGGGTGACGTCACCTCGCCTGACATTAACTGAAATTCTCAGACTGCTATTACAAGCAGGAGCAGAGATGTAATGGGAGCACTGAATGGGGCTTCTCTAAAACAGTAAAAAGTCCAACCCAAGGTGATCATATTCTAGACCTAGTACTGACAAATGGGGATCGACTGTCTAATGTTGAGGTGGGAGAAAACTTGGGTTCTAGTGATCACCAATGTCTTTGGATTGATATTAAAATAAGAACTGAAAAATCACATAAAAAAACTAAAAATTTAGATTCCAAAAAGACGAGTTTTGGTGAAATGGGTGAATCTCTAAACAATGAGTTGAAAGGTTGGAGTAAAAGGACCGGAGTAAGTAATCAGTGGGCACTGTTAGAGTCTACCATCCTGGAGGCAACTAGATTATATGTCAGGCAAGTTAGTAAGAATAAACAAAAGAGACAACCAATATGGTTCACTAAAGAGAGAAGTAGGATAGTAAAGGAAAATAAATCATCATATAAGAGATTCAAGGAAACAGGAGGTGTGGAGGTGACAGAGAAGAGTATAAAAATAGACAAAAGGAGGCCAAACACATTATCAGCGCTGCCAAAGCACAGAAAGAGGAGGAAATTGCTAAATCTATGAAGAAAGGAGATAAAACATTTTTAGGTACATTAGTGATAGAAAAATACGATGGGATCACTAAAATGAAAACTGGGCACAACACCTATGTTGGGGGGACCTGGATGTAGCAAACCACTTAAACAATGACTTTTTTGTTCAGTCTTCTCAGAAATAAATTATACTAACAATAATAAGTTGGGAAATCATATTGGTTCCAGTAATGATGGATCATTTTTAGGATTTCCGGAGACAGAGGTAGCAGAGGAACTGGCTCAGTTAAAGATTAATAAATCAATGGGCCGTGATGGATCATCCCAGAGATCTCAGAGAACTTTGAGGTCTAGTTGTTGGATCTTTTTAATCAATGCCTTCTAACAGGAGAAGTTTCCCATGACTGGACAGCTAATGGTGTACTGATCCACAAGAAGGGCAGAAAGGTAGAAGCCGGCAATTACAGGCCACTGAGTCTAACATCGGTGGTAGTCATGTTAATGGAATCACTCCTGAAAGGAAGGATCATTGATCATCTAAAAACACACAACTTGCTGGATCCAAAGCAGCATGGCTTTACTGAGGGCAGACCATGCCAGACTCATCAGATTGGATTTTTTTACTATATCACCAATGTTTTGGACCAGGGTGGTGCTGTGGACATGGCATATCATGATTCCAGCAAGGCATGTGATACAGTTCCTCATAACGATCTAATACAAAGGCTGGACAATCTAGGACTTAGCCCTTGGGTGGTTCAGTGGATGTGCAGCTGGCTAAAGAATAGATACCAGAGTGTGGTTGTAAATGGGGTTCACTCAGAACAGAGAGCAGTCACTAGTGGTGTCCCCCAAGTTTCTGTACTGGGTCCTGTTCTATATGTAAATTATAGAACTAAAGGGTTGTTGGGTAAGGGGATGTCTCTTTGCTAATGGCACAAATGTGTGTAATAGGGAGGATATCCCTGGTCATGTCTGTAACATGGAACAGGATCTGGCATTGCTGGAAGATTGGTCAGAGAAGTGGAAATTTCAGTTCAATGTTTCTAAATGTAAAATAATGCACCTAGGGAAAAAGAATCCTTTGAGAGAGAACAACATTGGGGGTACAGTGTTGGTCAGCACTACAGAGGAAAAGGACTTAGGGGGTACTTATTTCGGATGATTGCAAAATGAGCAGACAGTGTGGCCAAGCAGTGGGGAATTCTAGGATGCATTACTTATGGCAGGAGGAAGGAGGTCCCAATTCCTCTATATATATCTTTATATCACTAGAGGGGTCACCGGCGGGAGGAAGGAGGTCCCAATTCTCCTATATAGAAATTTATATCACTAGAAGGGTCACCGGCGGGAGGAAGGAGGTCTCGATTCTTCTATATAGATCTTTATATCACTAGAGGGGTCACCGGCAGGAGGTCCTGATTCCCCTATATAGAAATTTATATCACTAGAAGGGTCACCGGCAGGAGGAAGGAGGTCTCGATTCTTCTATATAGATCTTTATATCACTATAGGGGTCACCGGCGGGAGGAAGGAGGTCCCGATTCCTCCATACAGATCTTTATATCACTAGAGGGGTCACCGGCAGGAGGAAGGAGGTCCCGATTCCTCTATATAGATCTTTATATCACTAGAGGGGTCACCGGCAGGAGGAAGGAGGTCCCGATTCCTCTATATAGATCTTTATATCACTAGAAGGGTCACCGGCAGGAGGAAGGAGGTCTCGATTCTTCTATATAGATCTTTATATCACTATAGGGGTCACCGGCAGGAGGAAGGAGGTCCCGATTC